ACTGCCAAAGCATTTGCTCTGAAGAACCGTATCAAGCCCCTTGGTATGCTTATATATTACTCAGAGCCATACAAACCGTATGCTGAGTAGATATATAAAGTCATACAGCAGGTCTCTTCTTCTGTTCCTCAGCAAATGTCATCTTGATCTCTCATGACGAAAATAGACCTTTTGTTGGTCGAATGGTATGGGGATGAGGTGACTAGCTGGGTTGGCAATGCCTCGATGGGTAGATTGACTGCTACGGAAGCATGAAATACACACCTTATGTCTCTATCGTGTAGTTATACGTTTGAATACTACTGGGACTATAGTGATTGACGGCAATTGAGGTGTTGGTGATGACTTTGACGCGTTTTGCGTGCGATGCAGAGAAATGCGCGTCACAGCGTAAAATTGGCTTTTTTTCATGTTTTTGCATAAGCGGGGAAAAAAAAGGGGGGCGGACGCTGTCAACGCAACGGAGTGTAGCTCTAGCGGCCAGGGTACCCAAGGGACGTGCCCCAGGCGCCTCCATTGGCTGGAGACTGGTGCAAGTCGGAAAAATTCCCGACCTGCATTTTCCGACTTGCATCGTCATTGGATTTGGGAACGCACCCTGGTCTTGTAGATTTGTGTTTATAAGCACGAAATCACAGTCGTCGGTATTGGCTAGAGTCCAGCAAGTAGGAAAATTTACCAATTTGCATTGCTCAGCGCCCATCCACGTCCTGCGCAGCACACCCCAGCCGGGTCCCATGTAATAATGAGCAGATGCACCAAATCAACGCTCATTTCCATGCCAAAGCCGATGGGCTTGTCACGCAGCTGCGGAATTTGATCGTATCGTAGACAAGTGCGGCGCATGGGGGTGTGCATCGTGTCCTTCGAAGTCAGTTTTTTCAAGGCAATCGGGATTGAAAAAGCATAGGCTTCAGGCCCTTAAGTATGTCCCCAGCCTGAGAGACGATTTCGGAAGGGGTGATTTGATGACTGAACTCTTCCTGCACGAGGTCAAAAGTCAGTAGAAGGTAAGGACCGTAGCCTGGACAACCGCAGTGCAAGCTTGAACACCACAAGGAGTTGTATCTGGTAGCAGGCTAAGTTGCCTTGCCAGCAATTATGCTCCTTTGATTTGGAGGGGTTTAGTCTAAGCCATGTCCATGGTCACCTCTGTGGAAAATCCCAGCGAGATCCGTGCTATGGCCTCAGCCACGGAGGCTTGCAAGTGAAGTGGTCCAGGTCGGGGCCATTGCGTGCCTTACGTAATGCAGGTCGAAGAAAGCCCCCGACCTGCAGTGGGCATGTACCTCCAGCATTCACATCTACCTTACCACGCCAATTTTCCGATTTCACCTGATGATTCGCTGCGATGGAGAGTCAGCTAGAGCAGATGGCAAAATTGGTTGCAGACTACGAGGTCCAGGACAACAGCCCGAGTACTGCAATTGCAACAGTGATGATGGTTCAGGACACCGTGCTGCCAAACCGCAAGTCAGCCTGCCATTTATCCGGTTCCAGTGCGATCATGCCCAATGCAAACGGAGGACGTCAAAGAAAATCAACCCCGGAAGAGATGCGACAGCGATGTACCTTACCCAAAAGGTCGCGGTGAGGCGCGCTCTAGAACGTGCTGCTTCCCAAACGCACTGCACCAGCCGTAATCGCGGTCACAACATCGCCGTCTACCTTGATGATTGTCGCGAAAAGACGGGTGACGGCATTGCAACGTCGGAAAGGAAGACGGGAGCAAAAGATCCCAGATTTCCAACGAGAGCGCTGTTCGCATTGGAAGACCTCATCTGCATTTTTTTTGCGACCCTCGATCTCACCAAGCGCCGGACGCGTATGGCCGCAGAGTGATGTGGGCGACCCATGCGTCGAGGCGGGATTGGACCTACGGCCCAGATTCGGGCCTCGGTCCCGATGTTGGAGTCGCTGCCAGTTGGACCTGTCGCAGGCTCGGCCAAAATTGCCTTGCGAGCATCGCTGCCACCATACTTCAAGTGTTCGCAGGCGCTGGTTCAGGACTTACGCTGGGATGGAAATTGGCTCGATTGCTAGACGGCGCCTTCCCTATCGAATGAGCTGAATCCGAATGCTGTATCGCGGTGAGTAAGAATGGGATGGTGAGGTCCGCAAACCGCCTCAGACATGCAATGGTCACAGTCTCTCATGATTCGGCGTGGGATCAAGTGTCCAAGCCGCCGGCATAGACTAGGAATAGAAAACTCACGGCTGGAGACGGTCTGCTCACCAACGCACTGCATGTTTGGGGCTTCAGTATTTGCTGCGAAGGCCGACCGAGGGCCGTTGTTCACCAGAAGGAATTGTACGTGTGAGCTACACTCAAACGCACTGCAGCCCGTCTCCAGCACAACCTCTCCCTGGTTGATCGTTTGCGTCAGAGATGATGGGCACATGGCTATGTTTTTAGACTCTGCTTCTCCTCCCTCTGCTTTCTTCTCCAATAGTCTCCTGTAGTCTCTCTCGCTAGCACTTCGGGAACTGTGTCTCAACACGCTGGAATCCCGGTCTTGTCATGCTAGCGGCTAGAAATCTTCTGCGCTCAGCTTTTTGGTTTTCCCTACAATCCAACATCTCCCGCCGTTGTCACCATGGGCCTTTCGGCGCGCGAGGTGCCTCCGAGGCGACGGCCACCCTTCTGATTGCCCTCTCCTTCGTGATAGCTCGCTCTCGGCTCATTTGGCCTACACGAACGGGGCGCACACTCGATGAACCCCTCGTCGTGGACCAAGTCGACGTTCCAGCGATTGGTGCTGATGATAGTGCGCCCCCCCCCTTTGACCCGCCGGATTCCGCACGCGTAGGGACCCTCATCTGTGACAAGAGCGACGATGTGCAACGGCATATCATCACCAAGGTCGCATTCGCCCGCGACGAGACGCCTATCGAGCTCGTCCGAGGCGATCATTTCTGAGAGCATGAAGATGGTGGCTTAGAGCCGCCCGATTTCTCTTTGTAGTAGACCCCAAAGGCCTGGCTCAGCACCGTGAGCATGCCGACCGTATTGCCTATACACAGCAGTGGCGCCCCGAGGAAGACGTGGTAGGCTTTCTCATCGGAGAAGGCCGGGGACGACTGCGTATCGGATACCACAAGCCCCTCAACGGTGGGCAGACGCATGAAGTGGACAATCTCGCCAAGGGGCCACTGCACGCGCTGTTCGGGTATGGGGACGCCTCTGGTGGTGCTCATGATGAGGCCGGCCGCGCTGCTTGACTAAGCGGCGGCGAACCAGGATTGACGTCGACATCAAACTGGAACAACGCGCCGGAAGGCTTCTCCTTGCTGACCAGGCTGTCAACGGCGAGCTTCGAAGCGTTGGTACCGACCGTGACGACGCGCTGTGCGGCGACACTTCATTGCCGACTAGCAAATGCATGCTGGGCCGACCAGTTAGCATAGAGTTTGAGGGTGTCGCGCGCGAGGCGGTCCGCCACAGCCTTGATAACACCGACCATGAGCGCGACCGCTGCCGACGTCGGCTTCGGGTTGTTGTCAGGGAGCGGAAGTTGTAGCCCTCGGCAGGAAGTTGTGGTCCGCAAGGGACAGCCCATGCTTGTTCTCTCTCGGTTCGTTAAAGGGGTATGGTCGAGGTCTGTTCCGTGGGGTTTGTCTTGGTACTTCATTCCATGTTAGCTGGTCCGAGTTGAAGTCTGATTGATGATGTAGCGAGGGTAGTTGCTTACCTGGGGGGAGGGCGAAGCAAAATCTGGTGCTTGAGTCGAGCGAGGGGAGACGGACGGCGGGAAAAATGCCGGAAGATGCTGCTTCAACCGTGCAGATCGATGACAAGGTTTGTCCTGCTCGACAATGTTGGACTGGGCCGGGCCAAGTTGACAAAGACGAGGAGAGAATGACGCCAGACAAGCCATGGTCACAGTCAGATGTCGTATGCGACTGCGTCTGACTTGGTTGTCGCCGCCGCGGGGGCCGGGCCAGGACCTGCAGCCCTTCGCCGCATGCAACCACACTGGCGAATGTTCGTATCGTTCGATCGAATGCGCGGGCAGGCCTTCGATTGATTACGGCCAGGCTTGCCAGTGGAGATGGCCGCCCGATCGGAGAATTTCCTCCCGGAGCAAAAAGCAGGCTATGGGGGAAACGACAAATGCAAAACAGGAGTGGGTGGAAAGGATCAGAATGGGAGGCAGTCGCGGTGCATTGTGCCGGCCACCTCCCAGGAGTGGAGTACCATGATCCAATCAGCAGTGTAGGTCATACTATTTTACGACCTGCACAGACCTCGGGCAAGACCCAGGGAAGGCGGGAAACTACGCTGCCTCCTGCCCGTCTGGATCTTAGGCGGCACCCAGGCAGTAACTGCTCCATGAGGACCTGGATGAACACCTGACACTTCCAAGGTGGTCAACGGTCAATGGTAGTCGCTGCCACCCTCAGCGGGGGGGACAAGTGTGCAGGGTGGAGTTGCTGCCCCAGGCAGACAGAGGCATGGTCATACTTTTAAGGCCTAAAAGTATGAGCAAGCGAAGAAAGAGGACGGGCAGGAACAAGAAAGAAGACGGAGTTGTCCCAGTCGCTGTCATCGCCCGGAGGATGCGCGCGTCTTGTGCGGCCTGCACTGGACTAGACTCCCGGTCGGAGATCTCTCGGGCGGAGTATCTGCTGTGATATTCCACAGCGTCAGTGTCCCCCGCCTCCCGTCCCGTCACACTGGGCTACGGTGAGCCCCGCCGCACCACTTTGACCCTTCCATTGCAATCAAACACTTGTGTGGCTCGCGACCGTTTGTCGTCCTAAATTGCACAACACTCCGCTTCCAAGGTCACTCGACGAGATGGGTTGCACGACAATTCAGGCGGAATGATGGAGGCGGTTTTCACAGATTGTATTCTTCGAGAGGCTGCTAGCTAACGGAGGGCTGCTGGTGAAGTTTCGAGTCTTAGAAATGACGTCGGGTGTATCTGCGACTCCTGGATGCAAGCCAACCTCGGAAACGACAAACAAAGAAGCCCGACAAACGGCAGCGACGCGTCTCAGAAAATATGGGGTTCGTAGTCGTAGACTTGACTCGGATTGTCGAGAGGAACCTCGAGATCAAGCTCGCCCTGTGTGTCATACAGCCGCAACACGACTTGCATTCCGTTCCGCATGAAGACGGCGACTCGGCCCAAGCCGATGCTGTCGACGACGGGGCGTCCGACCCACCAGGGAACGGCCCGTCCCTCCAACACGCGAATGGCTGAAAGCCAAGTACAGACGATCATGGCTGTGGCCTCGGTGGCGCTGCGGTCCATCTGCTCCGCAACTTGGCCAACGGTCAGAGGACCGTATGCGGTTTGTAGAAGCAAAGTCAGGGCATGCGCCTCGTTCTCGGTCCACAAAGGGATCTGGAAGGACGGAATTTAGTCAGCGGGGTTGCTTGGAGAGGATGACATGTCGCTTGCTTACGGGATCTGGCTGTGGGGTGCTGACACGAGACTCGCGCTCGGACTCATCTCCCTGGTTGTTGTCCTCGCCGGGTCGACTGGCGACGATTGGATGACCGGGGGTTGCCGAATCGAGCAAAGGATCGTCGGGCTCGAGAAGGTCATTGGCCACAACAAATTCGACAAGAGATTGGGCGTCGTGGTCCTCGTTGTCTTCAACAAGCTTGGAGAAGTGGTCGAGAGTCGGAAGCATCATGCTATCGTCACGGCCATCGTCATCCGCCTCCAGATGGATGTGGATTGGAGGGGAGGATGGCGGCGCACCTGTGCAGTGGTGTGGGGCAGGTCCATCTCGACGTCACGACTGTGATTGTTGTCGGGTGCAGAGTGCTCTTGCAAGTGAAATCTCAAGTTGAGGGCAGGAAGGGGTGGAGCCGCCCAAGGTCAGCGAGCGCCCGGGCATCTACTTTGGCGTGTTTGGGTAAGGTAGGTGCGGAGCAGGTACCTTACTGGACGGACCAGATACCTTACTGGACGGAGCAGGTGCCTTAATGGACGGAGCAGGTGCCTTAATGGACGGAGCAGGTACCTTCCTGGACGGAGACGGAACCTGGAAGGAAGAACGCAACAGCAGGACCCTGCTGGAGACACGTCCCTGCCTCCGAAAGACGTCCAGGTATCCCATGCGCCGCACCTACCCTAATGGTGACCCTGATGGTGCACCGCAAGGTAGGTACCCTAATGGTGCACCGCAAGGTAAGGTAGGTACCGATAGGGTGTCCCTGTCCTCAGAACCAATATAGATGGCGCTCCCCCCAGCCCCTCCTGTCTCTGCCCACAATCATGATTCCATGGAATCTGCCCGAATCCACGTCCCAACTTCACCAACGTCCCGACTTCACCAACACCCCAACATCCCAATCCCCAACAATCAACTCTTTCTTCCCTTCCAAGTCTTCTTCTTCGACTACACAAACCTTCCCACAGCGGCAGAGGCGTCAGCCAACGTCAAGTTGTCCAACATGGCACGCATGGAAAGACTTTGAGCATGCATCTCTCTCCGGGACGACAAGAAGAATTTGCCAGACAGCTCCAGGCGGATCCTCACCGACAACACACTCAAGCGAACGGAGCGGGTCTAGGGGTGGCCGTGTGGAGTTGAGTGGAACCACCTCACCGTAAGACAGACGCCGGTGAGATTTCTTCTTACCAGGAAATGGATCCGAAGCGTCCACGGACAGGAGCCCCTCAATCCATGGCACCTAAAACCATCACCTTCAACGAAATCTACCAAGATGGAAAGGCCGAGTTCAAGCACACAATCGTTAAGTTCGAAGACCTTGTTCGATAGAGGCTTCTCTGTGAGCCATCCTGGCCCTCGAATATTTCCCCGTGAGAGTCATACGGCAGTCAACAAAATCTACCAAGATGGAAAGGCCGAGTTCAAGCACACGATCGTTGACTTCGGGACAGCAAAGAGAAGTTCAAATCCGAAGCGTCCCCGGACAGGAACCCCTCAGTCCATGGCACCCAGGTTGGAAGCCTGCTTACCCTTTCCTTCAGGGTTCCACAGTCGAGAGAGCAAACAACGACAGCTGCCTTTAACATCACCGTCGCAAAGTGTCTCACTCGCACAGATCTCACCACAGTCTATCCTTGCTTGGGTATAACGTCTGATTGCTTCTTTACTTCCTTTCTCTCCATCCAACAACAGACAGCTCCAAGCAAACATGGACGAGTACGAATACCTCCAGCTCACCTTCAACGAAATCTTTCTTCCCTTCTAAGTTTTCTTCTTGGCTGTTTGCCGCCTGGAGGCGCACCTTGTTGACTGCTGGAACGAAAATCTACCAAGATGCGGCCGAGTTCAAGCACACAATCGTTGAGTTCGAGGACATTTTCTACATTCTGAAGTAAGTGGCAAAAACAAAAAGTCATCGAAAAAAAACTGACAACTGACTAGGCTGGCTCCATCGCGAAAAGTCCATGTCGGCAGTCGGCTCAGACATCTTGACTTACGGCCACGGCTTGGAGTATTTCCCCTGTTGGGTCGGCTTTTCGATCTCTCAGAAGGCGGGCGATCGACGGGGCAGTCGAGCGTGTATGGGTTGATGCGGATCTTGGTTCAGAGAATTGGGCCACAGTTGAGAGCGAGCCTGCACGACCTCAGTGTGCTGGGGGCCTAGCCCATGGGGAACGGTAATAAACGAATGGATCCTTCCCTTTACCTCTGTATCCAGGCCGTAGTGTAAAACAAGATGACAGTCGAGTGTTTCTACCGCGCGCCTTAGCCAACCGTTGCACCACTGTGTTTGAAGCTCTGCGTAGACGGCGTTCATGGTTGGTCGGTGTGGAGGGCGCGGCGCCGCTGCCCTGGCGCCCGCCCGGACGGGCGCTCCGCCTTGTCTCCCCGCAGAACCCTTCCTTCGAACCATGTAAGTGTGTACTACGCCGTCTCCAGGACAGGCACAGGTAGCCCGGGCTGAACCACTATTTGCCTAAGATCCCCGCTCGGCGTGACGACACATACAGATGTATGCCTATACAAATACTTTCCCACAACTGTAGCCTCGCTTGCTTCGGAGCACACCACCCCAACCCTAAGCTCCTGTAGCCCACGATACGCTTCGTTCGACTCTATTATTCTCTCTATACACAGCGCCATTATGTCCGCCTTTAGTCGCGTTGAGTTCGGGCGCGTGACATGAAGCTGGGGCAAAGGCACGAGCTTTGTTCCGAACCCGTCGTGCAGTGTCATGAACGATCCAGATTGTTCGAGGATTTTCCGCGCTTGCGGGTCCGTAGACAGGAAAAACAGTGAAGGCCTGGCTTGTTCCATGTTGGCGTTACCTCGATGAAAAACGCAACGCCGTTGCGTTGTGCTACCACGATGGGCCCAGAGCATTTCACACAGCGCGTCTACGACGGTTCGGAAGTGAAGGAAGGTCACGCGGTGATGGTGGTGAGGTTCGAGGCGTTCGGCCCGCGTCACAAGTTGAAAACTGTCACGGTGGAGTCGACCGACGACGAATACTCCTCGGGCTGTAGACACCATGCAGGGTGTTTCGGCCATATGTGTACCACACCTTAGGGCAACCTCTTTCCTCCCCACTCCTTATCCGTCAGAGCAGGGCCCATAAGTACAGAGTATCTCAAGGCGGCGTCAATGCCGTTCGATCGAGACCCAGACGCGTGCAAGGACGCGCTTAAACGTACCAACTACACCAAGCGTAGCCATATAAGAGCAATAATGAGCACGCCTGTGGCCGGCAGCTCAAGGCTTGTGGCTGTGCCGCAAGTGCATATTCCGCGTAACTATGTGTGTATACCCAATGAACTCGCAGAAACAACTGTATTCTATGCCCACGCAAAAGGCACTGATGGAAAGTATACAGGCAAGATGGTGGAGCGATGCCTCCAAGAAGGCGACTACGTAATGCTCGTTCGTCCTCCCTCCCTTACGTGGCTGAGCACACAGCCTATGACAATGAGTATCTGGGACAGACCCTGTATAGGCATAAAGCCTGAAGCGTTCACGGGGTTTCACGGCGACTTCGACGGGGACGAGCCCCATTGCTACCCCCTTTCGTCTGAGGGGTCTTTGTGGGAGGCGTCTAACTGGGTTGTGCCAGAACTGAGCAAGTTCAGCGAAGGCAGAAAGATGATACGCGACCTCGGCCTGAGCCCGGACACAGACATGCCCGAAGACCACGCGTGCTTTGTAGAGTTCACGACTCTAAGCTCCAAGCAGCTGAAGGACGGAGACTGCGGCTTGTACTTTGACATCGGACAGATTCAGCAGTGACAAGACGGAGCTGGATTTCGTGTCCCAGTCGATACGTGGAACTATGAGTATACTCAGATAGCAGCTGTCTCAGAGCTCTATTGGAGAGTTGACGAGGAACGCGAAGGTGGCGGCATCGTGCTTTTACAGGTCGGAAGGTGGCAGTCTCTGCGTTCAGACAGCCGAGGGCACGGTAGTACTTGCAAAGCCGGGTCCGGACCCAGGGTCGCCCTCTATGAGAGCGGTGATGTTGTTGTGTTCCAAAGCGCAGCAGTCCGCTCTGGATGCTCACAGGGTAGGGTCGTCCGAAAGCAAGGGTCTCGACTTTATAGCCAACATTTTTAGGCCCCCGGAGAGCGTTCAGGCAGCACGCGAGGGGTCAACGTTCTGCATGTTTGAGCAGTCATGCTACGCGAAGGCGAAAGCGGCGTCGTCGTGGTGCGCGAACGTGGACGGCACCCTGATGTGTCTTATAAGCCCTCAAAGGGTAACAGGAGTTGGAGTTGCCAGTGTTGTGGGTGTGTACAATCCTCAAATTCTTGAGAAAGTGGCTGCTTCCAAACGTCACTATGTTTGCATGGAGGCGCTCAGATCGGTCATGGGGTTCTACGGCTGCGACTATTCCGAGCCTGAGGTGCATGACCTTGCACATGTGCTCTCGTACCAGGCGGAAAAGTCGGTATACCCCATTACTTCGAGGGAGGAAGCACTCTCCAGAGACATAGGGTGGGTAGACAAACTTTTCATAATCAACTACAGCAGACTGGGTCACCACATAGAGAGTTTTAATGAGGAGCCTCAGACTAGCACGTGCTCCATGTATCTCTTCAACTTCTCCAATTTGATGTCGAAGCACGATTGATCCACAAACCTCGTCGACCTCAGACATATGTCTGTAGTCCCGCCGAGGCCACACGGAACAGTCATTTGATCGCATTCATCTCTTATGCTTTTCAAAACCTCCTTCGCTACGACGTCAGACGCGTCCAGGTGTGATTCTCACAGTGCGCGTCTTACAGTTCTACCTGTGGTTGACTCGTATGCATCATAGCATTTGATGCCGCCTCTGGACGCAATGCTTGAGACGTCCTTCACATAACGTTTCCGTTCATAACCTGTGTCAGCATCACCTCAATATGTCTGGATATGGAGTTTAGCTGCAGCTAGACCGTGGGGAGGCTAAGGATAGATGTGCATACGCTGACGAACGTTTCACGGACCAGTCCTGCAGTATTTCTTCTTGCTGTAGAGACGCCTGTGTACTTTATCGTTCCGTCTTCATTCAGATTGCAGTACCCTGTCTTGTCCAGCAGTATAACTCCAGGGTGGTGGCTCTCCATCTCCATTGTCATTCCCTGCAAGCGGGCATCCTCGAATTCCTTTAGCAGAGAGCTGAGTGCCTCGGAGACACAGCGGCATGCACCCTCCTCAGACTTGTTAGCGGCACTAGACGGGGACACAAAACACGAATCGGTATCGCCGTACATAATGGAAGATCGTGGCGTTCAAGAACTCTGTGCGCCAGCTTGACGCGCCACCTTCTAATGGCCGATACTGATGCAGAACACGACGAACTGTACATCGCGGACTCCGCGTATCCGACGCACCCGTACGCGCTATTGGCGCAGACCTCAAGTGATGTGGCATACAGTGGGTCCGAACGCTTACTGGCGCCGCGAAGCCGCACCATCTCTTTAAGTGACTCTTTCAGCAGTGAGGTTCCCTTGTATGGGAACAGAGCCGCCCTGTCTTTGAGGACCACCCTGACGTACTGCGAGTCCCACGTTACCTTGTCCTCGTAGTCTCCGTCCTTCAGATTTTCTACTGCTACCGTCTCGGGCGAGATGTTGCAGCACGGCATTATGGTCGGGTACATCGACAGTCGTACACAGGTGAGGACGAGCAGGCTGCGAGCGACGGTGTCTCGGTGCACAGTCCTGACTTGAACCACACCTCCAGCGCTACGTTGCAGTTGTTGATGTTGTAGTTTAAAAGAGACTCCAGATCCACGTCCTCGCTTATGACCGGCATATCTAGCCTGGGCGAGCATTCCGTGCGACACAACCTTTAGAGACATCGCTGAGTATTGATCTGGCCTGGCTCTTACCATGTAAGCCATGGAGTCTATGTTGTAACACCCCGGAATGTGGAGTATGCTGCCGTACGACATCATCTTCGAGCTCTCAATGCGAACCTGATCGTACATCTCGCTCATCTCGAAGTCATGGTACAACATGCATTGGTTATCGAACCCGTAGGCATCCGACCAACAACAGTGGCATATGGGCTTTCGAGGCCTCCGTCAAGCATCGCACTGCCTCCGCGGACGTTGAACACTGCACCAGCTTGACTTCGTTGACAGAGGTCACCCCTCCTCTGTCTATGGTGAGAAATACGACCTTTAGTCCCCAGGTGTAGCTACACGCTATGGACAGTATCGCGTTGTTGACCAGCGGAAACTTGCCGGCGGAGTTGCCACTGATGTCAACTTCGATGTCGTATGACATAGTGCAAGCTCCCTCGACAGACCTGTACTTCTGGAACCCTCCTGGTGTGCACGTTCCGCAAATGTTAAGCCCAAGGACCGACGCCAGTCTTATGTCGCTGTACTGACGAGGCGAGACCTCGCCCGTGTTGGTGTCGTCCTTGTATGATTCGTTGTTGTAGACCACAGTAGCGCCTTTCTTCACTCCGAGACCCTCACATATGCTCATGACTGTTATTTTCCTTCTACCGATAGCCTTGCGCCTGTGCCATTCTTCACTGAGCCTACTTAGGTAATCGGCCCCCTCGTTTTAACTAGCTCTTTGGAATGCGATAGGTCTATCTTGGCGTGCGGTTAATAATTACGTTGTGTTGCTGTACGTCGTGATGTTTTATTCGGCCGAACTAGTGTACTATAAAGACGAAGACTGGACTGTGCCTCGGCATAAGGGGGCTGCATCAGAGCAGTATAGTAAGCTGAAGAAGGCATTTATAGAGCTGGGCCTGGTGTGCTGCGTGGGGGCTAGGAGCTTGTCTATAGGCTGCACAGAAAGACAGATTGCTCGCAAATGCATACTAACATCTGGGTCTCCTGTACTTAGGCATGAAGGACGCATATATATCAAGGGTCTGAGACTAAGACGCAGCCTTGAGCCCTGTAACGGTTAGTCCAGAGGAATCGTGCAGGTACAGACGTCTATGCATCCGTCTCTCATGTTCATTCAGGACCCCCCACGGCGTGTTTACAGCTGTTGTTCACTACTACTATTATCTTCTCTCATCTATGCTGCACCTAGAGAAATTAAAACTTAGCGCCTCTGGCTAGACAGAAGATGCATGCTCTGTTTTAGCTCTTATTCCTGCCTGGTACGGCTCTGTCTGGCGATAAAGGGTCAGGCTGCGACGTCATATGCCCAATACTTGTATCTATGTGTCTGTGATTTTCATCCAACCCTACGTCAATGGTGCTGCTACTTTTAACGGGGTCCCAGCTAATCGTTTATGTTTGTTGCCTACACAGACGCGCGTGGTGCGCGTCTCTAGCCACGTCTCTGTTTTCTGGCGTTCTGGCGGCATGCCTGATGGTAGTGCGCGACAGGTTGCTTTGGGGCGCAGCCGTGGTAGACCCGGACCCAAGCAACAAAGCGTACGCTGTTGCAATGGCGCACCAAGTACTAATGCCAGGAGTACCCCTTCCAGACCTTACACTCCATTTCAATGCGTTGACCTTCCCGAGCCTCGTTAGCACTCAGATGGACGAGCGATCATAATGATGAACTCCCCCAAGTAGTTTGGAGGTATGGATATGGAGGACATCACGATGAAGGAGACCACAAGCGGCTTCACACGTAGGCAGAGCGCCACCACGCGTTACTGGAAGGCACCGCTGAAGTTCAAGAAGAACGGCAAAGTTCCAGACAGCCTCGTTTTGTGAAGAATTCTTTTGTGAATAATTGTATGACCAGCCACATCAGAAACATCAGGATGTCCTATTTCAAGGATGAGGCAGAAAAGTATGGAAGAGAAACCGATGGATATTTCTACGCTTGCTTTGAGCCGTACGTCCGTGAGGGCATCGCGAGAATGGTTGGACATAAGCTGCCCGCGAACGACGTCCAGACCACCAGTGGCAACCTCGTGTCCACCCCTGAGAAATGGTGGCAGAACGTCAACTCCACAAACAAGACCATTGGCGTGCTTGGCGGGGACGTCATGTTTCACCCCAGAACATCAGAGCGTATATCAACTCTGTGGATGCAGACGTGAGGATGCTGGAGCGTAGGTCCACGACCTCTGGAGTGGAGGCTACTAAACCCCATAAGACTAAGGTGACCCCAGATGCAGCGCTTGCCAAGCTCTCGGAGTTGGGTTTCTAAGCATACGAGAGTGTTCAGTGTGAAGCATCGTGCTTTAAAACTTCGCAATAACGTTGCTTTATTCACCCACCACGATGTCCATGAACACGGATCTCTAAGTAGACAGGCACACCAGCCATCTCAATCTTGATTCCGTCTTTTTGCCTGTAGTCGGCATTGAGGAAGACATGGCTAGGCACGACAACGATCACTACATCTTCGTGAACACTGGGGACATGGCCGAGCTGCTGAGAAGCACTCTGTCCAAAGAGCCCGAGATATCCATATGTGTAGCCAAGCGTATATCGAAGCAGAACACCAAGACTGTAAGACACATGCATTTACCTATAGTCCTCGCAGCTCTCTGTAGCTCGGACTACGAAGTGAGCCACGAAACGTTCAAGCACGTTGACAGTTACTTTATGCTCAGCGTATGAAGCTGTTTACATATACAGTCAGTTAGCTGGTCTACGTCACACTCAGCTCTGGTCAAGCGTCTGATGGGATGCAGGTCGCGCGAGGGGTTCGAGTTTCATCAATCCCACAGTGGAGCAGTGCTCCAGTCTGTCGTGCCCAGACGCTTGTCCTGGCGCGCTGGTCTAAGCGGCCCGTGGAAGTTCAGAAGCAGCAGCTTTGAGCTTTGTCACTCCACATACGGCGAGCTGAGGAGGACGCAGTTGCAAGTGCAGTTTTGAAAGAACGCGAGTCATAGGGGCGCGGAGGCTTGTGGGCCTATATCTTGGAGACTGAGAAGGAATGCCTCTCAGACGTCTGATTTCAAAACATTAACTATAGCTTGTCTGTACAATCTGCACACAGCTTGAACGTCAGACGGCTTTTCCTGTACCCTGAACTCACCGTTGTTCATTAGTAGCACACCCGTGCTCTTGTGTGGCGTAACATCAAAAGTGCCCGCGCGCCACGCGTGGGTGAGCTTGAACGATCTCATCGAGTCGGAATTGGCCATCACGGCGTCTTCGCCTACGTAGTCCCTGAGTATCTCCAACGATCTTCTTGTGTGCGACAAATAGCGCGTTTGGCAGTCGTTCATTAAAATGTACACGAACCGTGTCCCCGTCGTGTTGAGGTGGGACCACGCTGCCTCCTCCGTTAACCCGCACCGGCCAACAAGGTAAGGGGTTATCCTTCCTGCTACCTTGCATTTCCTCACGCACATACTAGGCCTACTCATCTTTGCGTTGTTGTTCTCTCTCACCACGTTGGGATACTCTTCAAGAAGCTTGAAATTGGCCAGCGTCGAGGTGGGCTGTGCATGTGACTATCTCAGGCCGCACGAAGGACAGTCTGAGCACGCTTCTGCTATCGTTAATCCACACGGCCATGGTGAACACCAATTCCGAGTCCGTGCCTGGCTCTGTTCTCTTACCACACAGTCCTGTCAGCATTTGTGTCAGCATCGTGATGGACGACGCGGGCAGAGCCGTCTGGCCGGTCGTATCATAGATACTGTCGCACTTGTCGTCTGGGAGGGACGCATCCGCCTTGTCCGACAACATGCGCC